GAGAGAGAGAGGGGAGAGAGAGAGAGAGAGAGAGAGAGAGGAGAGAGAGAGAGAGAGAGAGAGAGAGAGAGAGAGAGAGAATCGAAAACAACACACACACACACACACAAAGAGGAGAGAGAGAGAGAGAGAGGAGGGAGAGGAGAGAGAGAGATGAGGAGAGAAGAGAGAGGAGAGAGAGAGGAGGAGAGAGAGAGAGAGGAGAGAGAGAGTAGAAAGAGAGAGCGAGAGAGAGAGAGAGAGAGAGAGAGAGAGAGAGAGAGAGAGAGAGAGAGAGAGAGAGAGAGAGAGAGAAAGAGAGAGAGAGAGAGAGAGAGAGAGAGAGAGAGAGAGAGAGAGAGAGAGAGAGAGAGAGAGAGAGAGAGAAAGAGAGAGTCGAAAACCAACACAGAAATAGCCAATGAAGCAGAAATGGAGGCCTTCGGTCAAAGATAACGCCATCCAACGGAGCTATTTTAGAGGACATTCCCTCTTTCCAGACGCGGATTCTGAACCTTATGAACTATCCGGGTCGTAGTTTGAGATGTTTAATGGATAGTAAATTCAGGCAAGTCGCCTAAATCCTGTGAAATGTATCCCTGAAAGTCGCAGAGGCTGTTTTAATTGTGTCCACTAATTTAATTAATAGATTTAGAGGGTAGCCGAAGACCGAACTTCTTTCTCTGTCTAATGAGATAGAGGAATTAGGGAGAGAAGAGAGGAGGAGAAAGGCAAAGGAGAAGAAAATGTTAATGTCAAAATCTTGCTGATGCTGTAAGGTAATGGGCTCATTCTTAAGAAAAAAGTCTTCCAGAGTTAATTGGTGCCATTTGCTGAAGACTTAATTTGAAGAAGAATGGATTGTTCGCACGTGCGCACATGCGCGTATGCATAGAGGAACATGCACACATAGCCACACACATACGCACAAATACACACGTACACACACACACACACACACACACACACACACACACACACACACACACACACACACACACACACACACACACACACATGAGCTCAAACATGGACCTACACTCAATCATAAACACATACACTCAAACACAGACACACATAAACACACACACACATACGTACACAAAGGGGAGAGATTAATGCTAATTATACTTTCACTTGATGTATGTACAATATCCGTTTCTGTGGCGCGACCCCATATACTCTCATAACTTCAGTCATAATTTGATAGCTAAGTTATTACTCACAAAATACCTTCTGATTTATTACCTGTATTGAGGGATTTCGCTTAGTTCATTATGATTTCAATAATGATGGCAGTGACTTTCAGTTATTAACTGTTTGTTCATTTGATTGTATTTTGTTTTTGTTTTCCGTTCCGTTCTCTTTTTCTCTGTCTATTTGTATATCGGCCTGTTTGTCTATCTTTCCGTCCGCGTCTCCATTTATTTTATTTTATTTCACTGTCTCTCTTTCCTCTCTCTTCCCTCTCTCTCTTCTCTTTCTCTTTCTTTCTTTATCTGTCTACTTCACTCCCTCTCCTCCTTCCCTCCCTCCCTTCTTCCCTCCCTCCCTCCCTCCTTCCCTCCCTCCTTCCCTCCCTCTACCTATCCTCCTTCCCCCAAAATCCTCCCTTCACTCTTCCCTACCCTCTCTCTCTCTCTTTCTCTCTCTCTCTTTCTTCTCTCTCTTCCCTCTTCCCTTTTCTTCTCACTTCCACTTCTTCGCCAGGAACAAAAACCCGGCCGAGTATCACCTCTTTTGTCTGGAAACTTCCCCGATCCCCGCAGAATTACAAGCCGTAACCCTCAGCTATCTTGGTGTAATCTATTTGGAATCAGGTCGTTGGTTCGCCGGATTGAGAGTCGGGGGTAGGGTGTGGGGTAGGTAGGTGGGGTGGGGTAGGTAGGTGGGTGTGGGGTAGGTGGGGTGTGGGGCGGGTAGGTGGGGGTAGGAGGGGGTTGGGTGGGTAGGTGGGAAGGGGGTAGGTAAGAGGGTGGAGTGGGTTGGGGGGTAGGGTGGGAGGTGGGGGGGTTGGTAGGAGGGAGGGGGGAGGTAACAGTGGAGTGGGTTGGGGTTAGGGGTGGGGTTGGGTGGAGTGGGAGGTGGGGGTGGGTAGGTAGTGCGTTGGGTGGGGGGATTCATGGAAAGGGGGGGGGGTCAAAGGAGGGAATGAGAGGAGAATAAGTGTGTATATGTTTGTGCGTGTATGTGTTTATGCAGAATACCCCCCCCCCCCCAGAGAGAGAGAGAGAGAGAGAGAGAGAGAGAGAGAGAGAGAGAGAGAGAGAGAGAGCGAGAGAGAGAGAGAGCGAGAGAGAGAGAGAGAGAGAGAGAGCGAGAGAGAGAGAGAGCGAGAGAGAGAGAGAGAGAGAGAGAGAGAGAGAGGAGAGAGAGAGAGAGAGAGAGAGAGAGAGAGAGAGAGAGAGAGAGAGAAAGAGAGAAAGAGGAAAAGAGAAAGAGAAAGGGAACAGAAAAAGAATACAAGACAAAGATGCAAAATCCAAAGGGGCTGTAAACTCCTAACTCACACTAAATGTAAACCGCAGCATGAATATTCAGATTCACTCGAATGTGATGCATCTTAAATGTCTTGAAATAGGAATCCTTGTAGAAAGAGGTCATCATCGTCGGCGAAGAAAAAAGAAAAGAGAAAAGAAGAAGAAACAA